AGTTCCTGGAAAAATGTGCATTATGAAAAAACTACACTTCATAGTGTCTGCAGAGGTAGGGGTGCACCAAGCCTCTCCCCTGCTCATGGTGCCCAGCTGGGGCTCCCCTCCAGGACTTGCCCTCTGCTGAGTAGAGCTACCCAAGTAGCCTCATCCATGGTTAACCCACTGGAGGGATAAAGGGCCAGGCCCTTGTCCATCTGAGGCAATGCTAAGCGCAGAGCTCCCCATGGGATTAGCCAAGGCCTTTATGCGACAGCTTTGCAGTGGTGCTGTTGCTGCTGCCAGGTCCTGCTTCCTTCTCTGTCCCAGGGAACTCCTCAACAAACTTCTTGCACGCACATCTCTATCTTGAAACATTTCCCAGGGAACCCAGCCTATGTGGTATCTTCACCCTGAATTCAGTGTCTGACTGCAAGGGAAAGGGAGTGACACTTGCTAATATTCTAGTCCTTCTGATCTCAGAGCTGCCCTGTGTCCTGGGGCCACAGAGCTTCAGCGGAGTCCTGAGTGGCCTCTGCTGCCATCTGCCCTCAGCAGTGTCACAGCATCAGAAAAGGCTTGCACTGCCCTCTCCAGGAAGTATTGGTGTTCCTAGGAATTCTTCTGAATCTGTAATGCAATGTCATGGCCCCTTCTCCAAAGAAGTTGAATTTTGAAGATGGGATTTGCTTGGAATGCATGAACATTATTTCTTCCTTTTTTAAAAAAAGATTTATTTTATGTATTTGAAAGGCAGAAAAGAGAGAGAGAGAGAGAGAGAGAGAGAGAGAGAGATGGAGACAGAGAAGAGTGAGATCTTCCATCCTCTGGTTTACTCTCCAAATAGCCACAAAGGCAGGGGTTGAGCTAGGCCAAAGCCAGGAGCCTGGAACTCCATCCAGGTCTCCCATATGGGTGGCAGGGGCACAAACACTTGAGCCACCCTCTGCTGCCATTCCAGCTACATTAGCAGAGAGCTGGATTGGACGCAGAGCAGCATGGACTGAACTGGTGCTGTCATATGGGATGCTGGTGTTGCAGGCAGCAGCTTAACTTGCTGTGCTGCAATAGCAGTCCCTGATTTTTTTTTTTTTTTTTGAGGAAGACATTGAAAATCATTTTGCTAGGTGTCTGACTGTAATTCCTGAGCTAAAGAAGCTAAACTCAAAAGACTTTGCAGATGAAAAAAGGCAACCTAGAACTTTAAACAGTCATGGAAATGTAGGGATTTGGTCTCATCTACTTGGTATGCTGGATTATTCCTTTCAGGTGATATAGTCTCTCTCTGTCTCTCTCTCTCTCTTTCTCTCTCTGTCTCTCTCTCTTTGTTAATGTGTAAAATGGATGGAAAAACAACTGCCTGTTACCTAGCAAGTGCCTGTGAGAAGTGAAGCTATTTAAGGGCTATTTGTTTGTTTATTTTCTTGTTTGTTTTCTTGAAAGAACTTTCTGGCATATATTATCAAACTTGAGAAAATTATTCCAGAATCAACAAGGGAGAAGTGCTGTATTTGAAACAGATTGCTCATTTGTAGGTTTACCAACCTTAGCAGTCTGCATCCACACCCATCACAATGGCACCCCGGGTCACCATTTGTTCATCATGTCCCAAGGTGAACATGAGCCAGCATTTGGGAAGTAAAGGGAGGTTGGAGCCTCTCAGGCCGCTCAGCCCTCAGGTTACTCTGTTACAGTCCCCCATTTTGCTCCTGCCCCGCAATAGTTCCAGCCAGACTAGACTCCAGCCCAAAGTTTCCATGATACAGAACTGGCCAGCTCTGTGGAGGACCACGGCCTACTTCAGGCGGGAAGGCTCAAAGCTCTCTCCCATTGCTGTTTCTCAGATGCTTTCAGACATGCTTACAGTGACTAAAATGCAATGCTGCTTTTCTCCTTAAAATTCATCTTCTGTTGAACAAAGCAGCTGTCCTAAGATGTAAGGCTTGCGGTGTTTTCCACATGTGGTGATTTTCTTGGCCAAATGAACCTGTGTTATATTATTATTTAATATTATATATATGAAATAGGTCATTATGAGAAAAATGGTGGCTTCAAAAAAAGATTTATTTACTTATTTGAAAGTTAGAGAGTGGGAGAGATAGAGAGAAAATTAGATCTTCCATCTGCTGGTTCACTCCCCAAATGGCCACATGGCTGAGGCTGGGCCAGGCTAAAGCCAGGAGGCTGGAACTCTATCCAGGTCCCCCGCCTGGGTGGCAAGGACCCAAGTGCCTGGACCCTCCTCTGCTGTCTTCCCAGGCACATTAGCGTGGAACTGGATTGGAAATGGAGCAGCCAGAACAGAACTTGCACTGGCGCCCATATAGGATGCTGTTGTCTCAGCTGGCAGCTTACCCCACTGCGCCACAATGCTGGTCCCAAGAATGGCTTTTATTGAGTGCTTTCTGTGTGTCAGGCACTGTGACAGACTCTCTTAGGTGTGTTATTTCACTGAACTGTCCCGTTATTTAGATGAGGAAGCTAGGGCAGAAAGATTAAAGCAATACAGGGTAGAATTTGGATTTAGACCCTGGCAGTCTCTCTGCAGACTTTGTACCCTGAGCTATTTTAATGTACCGAAACAGCTTTCAAACTTGTTGGACCACAACCTGTAATGTTACATTTTATATTGCATTCCAGAGCCACACGCTTTTATCCTTGAAATACAAGTTTCAGATAGCAGTGCTTACACTTGATGCAGGCAGTGTGCTCTGCTTACTGGTTCTCTCTGTTACTTCCCTCCCTCCCTTCCTCCCTCCTTTCTCTTTGTTACAGCTTCCTAGTTGAAAAATGAGAAACTGCTCTACTGCCTTCCAGTGTTTCTCCACCCATTCACTCGTGAAATGTTCATTCAGTACTTTATATCTGACCCTGCAGGTGGTGATGAAACAGACAAGATCCCTGTCCCATAGCGTTTATAGTCAGAAGGTTTTTTTTTTAAGATTTTATTTATTTATTTATTTATTTGAGAAGTAGAGTTACAGACAATGACAGGGGGAGACAGAGATAAAAGTCTTCCTTCCGTGGGTTCACTCCCCAGATGGCCGCAACGGCCACAGTTACACCGATCCGAAACCAGGAGCCAGGTGTTTCCTCCTGGTCTCCCACATGGGTGCAGGGGCCCAAGGACTTGGGCCATCCTCTACTGCTTTCCCAGCCAGGACCAGAACCGGCGCCCATATGGGATGTCGGCGCTGCAGGTGGAAGATTAACCTACTGCGCCACGGTGCCGGCCGCAGTCAGAATGTTTTGTACCTGACATTGAGTTTAAAAACATTTGAGGGGGCTGGCGCCATGGAGGATGGCCCAAGTGCTTGGTCCCCTACACCCACATGGGAGACCACGAAGAAGCACCTGTCTCCTGGCTTCCGATGGGCGCAGTTCCGGCTGTGGCGTTCATTTGGGGGGTGAACCAATGGAAGGAAGACCTTTCTCTCTGTCTGACTGTCTCACTGTCTATAACTCTACCTGTCAAATAAATTTTTTAAAAAATTTTTAAAAAACATTTGAAAAAAATTGTATTGTTCGTGAAGACACTCCCTGCCCCTCCCCCCAAAAAAAATCTAGGAAGAAACTTATTGGGTATGAAGCTTAGATTACCTGGCAAATGCATAACTATTTAGTAACATTTATTAGATGATAGAAGAGGTAATGATGCTTATTGCAGCATCATTCACAATATAAAATAATTAGTATATTCAGACAGTGAAATGCTAATGTACAGCAATTAAAGTAATAACCTAACCCAATGTGTATTAATGTGGGTACGTCTCAGAAACACAGTTAAAAACAAGTCACAGAAAATAAAAAGCGAGATAGCGTACAGGACAAAGACACATACCATATTAGACAATGCAGTGTAATCGGTGCACTGCAGAAGGATGGGGTGGTTGTACCTCCACTTGGGTAAGAGTGTCAAAACATCCAGCATGGAGCGGCGCTGTGGCTCACTTGGTTAATCCTCTGCCTGCGGCGCTGGCATCCCATATGGGCGCCGGGTTCTAGTCCTGGTTGCTCCTCTTCCAGTCCAGCTCTCTGCTGTGGCCCAGGAGGGCAGTGGAGGATGGCCCAAGTGCTTGGGCCCCTGCACCTGCATGGGCGACCAGGAGGAAGCACCTGGCTCCTGGCTTCAGGTCGGCGCAGTGCCAGCAATAGCGGCCATTTGGGGGGTGAACCAACAGAAGGAAGACCTTTCTCTCTGTCTCTCTCTCTCTCACTGTCTATAACTCTACCTGTCAAATAAAAAATAAAAATAAATTTAAAAAAATTTAGCAAAATGCCATCTTACTGTGGGCACATACACACAGGGTAAAAGTGACAAAACCAAGGAACGACTACACATTGATTTTAGTATAAACCCTCTGAGGATGGGAGGGAAGGTTGAGGCTTTAAAAGATCTTATTAAACTAAAAAGATCGAGCAAATGTGGCAAAACTTAATGATTAAAACGGTTTGCATGGATGGGTATTATTTTTGGTGCTTTTCTGCATATTTAAAATGTGTAATAATGGTGAAATAACCATACTGTGCTCCTTTTTGTTTCTGGCTTGTGTGCTGTGCCTCCCAGGCAGTGGGCTCATTTGGCCTTGCCTTCCTCTGGAGCATCTCCAGGCTGCAGAGATTTGGGGCTTGTAGATGGGTCAGCTTTCAGGGGCGTCATTCCACCAGCAGAGGGCACTGTTCTATAGCAGATGCGAGGTGAGGACACCCACATCCAGCCGCTCCCAGTACAGGACCAGCACCTCCCAGGAAGCATGTTCTACTGAGCTGTGGGACAGAAGGGTCTTTAAATGTGTACAGCCTCCTTTCTACTTGTAGAAGGGGCACAAAATCCCACCATTTGGACACATACATCATGTTTCTCTGAATATTCCTAGTCTTGGCTGTTTGTGAGGCCAGGAGTACTAGAAACAGCACCTGCTAAGAGCAACCTTCACCACTGTGCCGATGAGCCTGCTGCTGATTTGAAGGAACTTTCTTGTTAAACTGACCAGGGGACTTCCTTCCTTCTGTTCTAGGTGGAAAAGGATTACTCTTACCTGAAGGAAATATGTGATCATCAAGCAGAACAGCTGAGCAGGACCAGCCTGAAGCTGCAAGAGAAAGCATCGGAGAGCGACGCGGAGATAAAAGACATGAAAGAGACCATTTTTGAGCTGGAAGATCAGGTGGAGCAGCACCGGGCCGTCAAGTTACATAACAATCAGCTCATTAGTGAGCTGGAAAGTAAGTGAAGTCACACCCAGGCAAGGCGCGCAGCAGGCGTGAGCAGGTTTCTAAAGAGACCTGGAACTGCGGTGATCCTGGAAGGGTTTCTAAGGATGTAGATTCTGGGGTTAGGAAGAGTCTATTTTGAGTGTTCTGTAATCTTCCAGGCCAGGAAGAATAGCACTTAAGAAACTATAATTAATCTCTTAAACTAGGTAAAAACACTGGGTGACAGAAGAAAGAATTGTTGACCATGAGTCAACAGTGTAGGGTGTCTGAAAAAGACCAGATGCGTTTTGGGTATGTTAGGTGCATGCTGTGTGAGCCACGCACTGCCACCCCTCTCTAGGCACCGTGTTGCACTTTGATACAGTATATTGGGACCTTGGGGCTATGACTACGACAGGGTCCGCAAGGACTTTTCCTAAGGGTAGTACTCAGGGTCTGAGAGGTTCTGTAGGGCAAATTGTTTGCTGCAGTTCTCAAGCACTGCCAGTGTGTTGACTTTGAGATCTGATGGATGAGAGATGGTCAGAGTGGAGTGAACAGTGGAGAAAGCGCTTCTAGCGTGTCTCCTGTCAGTGGTAGGGTATCAGGTGACTGACACGTGTTGACCACTTACCCACTGAAGAGGCATCAATGTATGGCTTATTTACCAACCCATTGTTTGCTTTGAATAAGGAGAGGCAATTTTAAGAGACTAATCAAACATTGCCTGAGCTGTCCAAATAAGCCTCATCAAAGCATCACATCTAATGCATTTTGCTGTTGTAGCAGAAGAATCAACCCACAAGGCTTTGAGTGACACTAGCCAATACTAAAAATGTCTTGTTCGGTTTCCTGAGAACTCCATATTGCATTCACTTGTCATCAAAATTTATTTGTAACCCCCAAATCGTTACAGCACTTTCACAATTATTTTTGGGCATACACAGAGGGGTGAAAAATTTGAGTCATCTGGCACTTAAGGTTCCAACTGAAGTCAAACAAGGCACTCTGCCTTCTTGTTTTAGTTCTCATACTGAAAGCAAGTGTTCTTTTCATGGTTTATTTAGTACCATGTTTTTAGCATTTTTGTGCCTTTTTTTTTTTTTTTGGCGATTTTACTATTTACGTGGCTGTCACAAGCACAGTGCTAAAGTTCTGTCTGCTGTTGCTGAGCCCAAGAGGCTGTGACAAGCCTCAGAGAGAAAACAGGTGTCTCAGGTAAACTTCCTTCCAGTGGGAGCTGTTGTGCTGTTGGGTATTAGTTCAGTGCTAACCAACAACCTAGCACCTCCAGGAAGTACATCTCTGATCTGCCCACAAGGTTGCTAAGGTAACATCTGTAGTGCATGATGAAGGCATGGGAGAGGTGGAGATGTGGCTAAATTCATGGATTCATGAAATGAAAACTGACTTTAAAAAAAAGCACTAGGAGGCTGAACACCAAAGAAATATGTGCTCGCATTGCCCAGGGTCAGGAAGATGTTAAAACATGGCGAGTACTTTCAGGCTCCCCAATAAGGTATGTGAAAAGTTAAACTGGCAGGCCAGGCAGGTTCTTCAGATCAGGAGACTGGAGGAATTTGAAAACACATGCTAAGTATTATAAGGAAAGGTAATAGCAGGGTTCTAACACTGGGGAGGCTCACTTGTTTTACAGGGCCATTGGCAAATGAACCTATATAACGCAAATGGCATTTCAGTTGAAAATGTTGCCACCAGACTCTTGCAGGAACTTAGTCCTGAATTTCCTCTAGAAGCAGCAGGTCAGCATTTGCTGATTCAGTGTGCACAGCAACTTGATTTAAGTAACACAAATAATGAGAATTCACTGTGTATTCTATACCTCGATTAATAGGTTAGCATCAGGGTTGACTGTGCTTTTTCCGTTCTCTGGGCCTGATGTGCAGTACTACCGTAGAGCGTTAGTGTCACCCAGACTGTTCTCAGTGGTCATAGTCATGATTGGGAATGCAACTAGAAACCTAGGTGCCAATGCCACTGTACAAGGGTACTTAAGAATGTTCATGGAGGATTCGGCGCTGTGGGTAAAGCCACCCACCGCCTGCAGTGCCAGCATCCCATATGGGTGCTGGTTCAATACTCCAATTCTGATCCAGCTCTCTGCTATGGCTTGGGAAAGCAGCGGAAGATGGCCCAAATCCTTGGGCCCCTGTACCCACGTGGGAAACCTGGAAGGACTTCTGGCTCCTGGCTTCAGATTGGCACAGCTCCAGCCATTGTGGCCCTCTGGGGAGTGAACCAGTGGATGGCAGAGCCCCATCTCTCTCTCTCTCTCTCTCTCGCTCTCGCTCTCTCTCTCTTTTTTCTCTTTGCCTCTCCTTCTCTCTCTGTGTAACTCTGATTTTCAAATAAATCTTTTTTTTTTTTAAAAAGGGAGAGTTCATGGAAAGTGAATTAAAGATCCATTTATTTTGGTGCAATAAAAAATTTGAATTCTGTGCATTGGAAGGATTCAGGAAAATGTGTTTAGTGGGAAAACTGTACATAGAGTTGAAGGGTTTTTTGCACCAAAGTAAAATTATATTTTCATCCCATTTCTCCATGAACTTTTAAAAATATCCCTTGGATATTTCCAGATACAGCCCCATGCCTGAAAACAATGAAACCAAAGGAGACAAGTCCTACTTTGTTTTGTTTTTATGATATATTGCGGTTGCGTATATGGTTGTATTGTCCCTGAACCCTTAAAAGTCAACACAGACACACCAGAGAAACCATCATATGATTAATGTCCAGAGCAGGTTTCAGGCCCTCCCCCTGTGGTTAGATCCTCCTATAGCTAAGACTGAAAATAACACAGATCATCTTTTGTGAAGCTTTTAAACTTCTGTTAGAGATATCAAGGTATTATTAAGATGATTTTTTTTTTTTGGCCAGGGCTCAGGGATCACACAAATCTAGCCCTAGACTAGTCATTCCTTCCTATAAGCTCCTTGAGAGAAATGGATAGAAAAATAAAAGGAAGTTAAGGAGCGTTCTCATTCTACAGCACTGACAAACATAAACCCTCAGGCCCCACATGCTGAATTGGAACTGCCGGGGCAGAACCTGCCCATATGGGGTTTTTGTTAAACCTTCCCTGGTGATTCTGATTCATTTCCTTAATAGACAGCTACTACCCCAGACTAGAGCATGAGGAACTATCGAGGAATTTTAAGTAGATGACTGACTTGAACAGATGTAACTTTAAATGACTCTGATAGCAATATGGGGAGAACTGAAGGCAGACAGAACAAAGAAAGATGTTCTTAATAGGGAGAGGTGGTTAAGCTGCCTGTGAAGCTGTTAAGCTATACAACAGTACTTGAAAAAGTTTGTGGGAAATGGATTTAAAAGATAAGTTTATTTTGGTGTGTAAGAATGAAGGTTTGCAGGGCCTGCGCTGTGGCATAGCGGGTAAAGCTGCAGCCTGTAGTGCTGGCATCCCATATGGGCCCCGGTTCGAGTCCCGGGTGTTCCACTTCCCATCCAGCTCTCTGCTATGGCCTAGGAAAGCAGTAAAAGATGCCCTCAAGGGGCTGGCGCCACAGCTCAATAGGCTAATCCTCTGCCTGCGGCGCCAGCACCCCAGGGTTCTAGTCCCAGTCTGGGCACAGGAGTCTGTCCCGGTTGCCCCTCTTCCAGTCCAGCTCTCTGCTGTGGCCCGAGAGTGCAGTGGAGGATGGCCCAAGTGCTTGGGCCCTACACCCGCATGGGAGACCAGGAGAAGCACCTGGCTCCTGGCTTCGGATCAATGCGGTGCGCTGGCTGTAGCGCGCCAGCCGCACCGGCCATTGGCGGGTGAACCAACAGAAAAGGAAGACCTTTCTCTCTGTCTCTCTCTCTCACTGTCCACTCTGCCTGTCAAAACAAACAAACAAACAAACAAAAGATGCCCCAAGACCTTGGGCCCCTACACCTGTGTGGGAGACTCAGAAGAAGCTCCTGGCTCCTAGCTTCAGATTGGCGCAGCTCCAGCCCTTGCAGCCATCTGGGGAGTGAACCAGCAGATGGAAGACTTTCTCTCTCTCCCTCTCTCCCTTTCTCCCTCTCTGTAACTCTGCCTTTCAAATAAATCTTAAAAAAAAAAAAAAAAAAAAAAAAGGAGGCTTACTAATTTGATGGTACAGGTGGAAATACTACCTTGAGAATCACTGAGCACTCATTGCTTTGGTTATATAGGCAGAGAGCCCATGCATATTATGTGTATCATAATATACATTTTCATGCACTTTTTAAAAATGGTTCATTTATTTGAAAGATAAGAGTACCATAGGAAGGCCGGCGCCGCGGCTCACTAGGCTAATCCTCCGCCTAGCGGCGCCGGCACACCAGGTTCTAGTCCCGGTCGGGGTGCCGGATTCTGTCCCGGTTGCCCCTCTTCCAGGCCAGCCCTCTGCTGTGGCCAGGGAGTGCAGTGGAGGATGGCCCAGGTGCTTGGGCCCTGCACCCCATGGGAGACCAGGAAAAGCACCTGGCTCCTGGCTCCTGCCACCGGATCAGCGCGGTGCGCCGGCCGCAGCACGCTGGCCGCGCCAGCCATTGGAGGGTGAACCAACGGCAAAGGAAGACCTTTCTCTCTGTCTCTCTCTCTCACTGTCCACTCTGCCTGTCAAAAAAAAAAAAAAAAAAAAAGAGTACCATAGGAAGAGGGAAAGGTAAAGAGAGAGATACCTTCCATCTACTGGTTTACTCCCCAGATGCCTGCAAACCAAGGCTAGAGCCAAGAACCTGGAACTTGATCCAGGTCTCCCATGTGGGTGGCAGGGACCCAAGTACTTGCATCATAATCTGGGTCCCAGCTGCATTAGCAGTAAGCTGGAACAGAAGCACAGTAGTCAAACTCCCTGTATGGGATGTCGGCATCCCAAGCAGCAGCTTAACCTGCTGCTCCACAGCACCCTCCCCTCCATGCACTTTTTGAAGTAGCCTCATGTGCAGGCCCATACTTTGTCTGCCCTTGGAGATTTTGATCCTGTGGGACTAGCGTCTGGGGCTCGCACATTTGTGCTTTTGAAAAGCTCTCCAAGTGATTCTGAAGTTTAACTGTGATTAAGAATCACAACTCTGGCCCGGCATTGTGGTGTAGCAGATTAAGCCTCTGCCTCTGGTGGCGGCCTCCAACTGTCTGCTAATGCACCTGGGAAAGCATCAGAGGATGGCCCAAGTGCTTGGACCCCCAAACCTATTGGCTCCTGGCTCCTGGCTTCAGCCTGGCTCAGCCCTGGCCATTGTGGCCATTTGAGGAGTGAACCAGCAGATTGTAGATCTCTCCCTCTCTCTGTCTCTCCTCTCTTCTCTCTAACTCTGCCTTTCAAGAAAAAAAAATCTTTTAAAAAAAAGAACAACAACCATAGAAGCTGGTTTATGTAAGTCACTAGAGGCAAGGGGTAGACAGTTGGCCTTGCTGTTAAGTTGCAGGTTAAGGTGTTCCATATAGAAAAACCTGAGTTCAATTCCAAGCTGCAACTCCTAACTCCAACTTCCTGCTAATGCAAACTCTGGAAGGCAGCTGTGATGGCTCAAGTAGCTGAGTCCCTTGCCTCCGATATGAGAGACCTGGATTGAGTTCTTTCCTCCCCCTGGCCACTGCAGGCATGTGGAAAGTGAACCGGCAGGTGGGAGCTTGCTTTCTCTGCCTCTCAAGTCAGTTAATTTTTTTTTTTTATTTTTTTGACAGGCAGAGTAGACAGTGAGAGAGAGAGACAGAGAGAAAGGTCTTCCTTTTCTGTTGGTTCACCCTCCAATGGCCGCTGCGGCCGGTGCACCGCGCTGATCCGATGGCAGGAGCCAGGTACTTATCCTGGTCTCCCATGGGGTGCAGGGTCCAAGCACTTGGGCCATCCTCCACTGCACTCCCGGGCCACAGCAGAGAGCTGGCCTGGAAGAGGGGCAACCGGGACAGAATCCGGCGCCCCAACCGGGACTAGAACCTGGTGTGCCGGCGCCGCTAGGCGGAGGATTAGCCTAGTGAGCCGCGGCGCCGACCAGTTAATTTTTAAAAAGAAGTCATGGGAGTAATAACCAGTCATACCCTCTGTTATCAGAAGCATTATACTTCAGAGTTATAAAGAACATCAGGATGATTTTGTGTGCAAATCAGGGAGTCCCAGGGGTAGGTGTGGGAAGTGTGACTGATTACTAGGGACCTTTCCATAATGCTATATGGTTATACAACCTAAGTAAGTGTCACTTGTTTTCCACATTATATAGTTCTCTATCTTGGAGGAACTTCCTACTTCTGGTTCCCAGTTTGCAGGGTGCTAAAAATCAAGTTTTTAATAGAATGGATGGATGTACAAGCCTGTATCAGAGCTGCCTCTTTGCTACCCAGCTTACCTTCTCCGAGGAGTCTCCCAGCTCTTCCAACCCTGTCTCAATTGCTTATTTCTAGGTAACGTGATCAAGCTGGAGGAACAGAAGTCAGACTTGGAAAGGCAGCTGAAGACCCTGACAAAGCAGATAAAGGTGAGGTGTGGGGTACAGCCAGGGACAGGAAACCATCACTGGCATCTCACTGTAGATCTTTCCCATCTCAGGTTTGGAAACCTGAGGAGAATACTCCATTTACTCTCTCTAGTCTGCTTTCCATAGCACAGGTCTTTGGTTGGCATCAAGTAAAATTAAAGCAGTCATTGAGTTTTAGGATGGAGGACTCTGGTGACACAAAGGTGTGATTCCCACCCATGCCGCTTCTCAGTGAAAAGACACCATGAGAGTAGGGTCTTGCTGAGCACTGCTGCCCATTCCTCCTCAGTGGTCCACACGGGGACCCTGGAGCCCTGCCCAGGTACTGGTGCTGGCACTGTCTAATGCGGGTGTGGACTCTGGCATTTTCAGGAGGAGACCGAGGAATGGAGGCGCTTCCAAGCAGACCTGCAGACCGCCGTGGTGGTGGCCAATGACATCAAGTGTGAGGCCCAGCAGGAGCTGCGCACTGTGAAGAGGAGGCTGCTGGAGGAGGAGGAGAAGAACGCCAGGCTGCAGAAGGAGCTGGGGGACATGCAGGGCCACAGCAGGTTGGTGACAAGAGGGGAGCCACACCTCCACGAGTCTGACGGGCACCTGGATAGCGCTTGGCTTCTCACTTAATCTCTGCGCCTGGGGCTGTGTTGTGGAGAGATGGGACGCTTTTATGTTTCTCTGTGCCAGCTTCTGTGATTCCTTTTGTAGGATCACTGCCAGTACCACCATCACTATTCCAGTTAGGGCTTAGTCACTGCCCTTCTCTGGCATAAGGCTTTGGAAAACCTCCTCACTTGTATACATAGGAAAGGTTCTAGACAAATACCCTCCTAGGCTTAAAGAGCAGAAATAATAACTAGGATGCCCCTTAATATTTATTGCTGTAGGGTAGTGCACACTAATAAATACGAATACAACACCTTATGTAAGTCACTGTTATGTAGTGGGGAAAGTTGCAATCACTCCCAAGGGAATTGCCCTCAGCTAAAGGACTCACTCCTGCTGAGCCAGGGCCATGTTTCCTTACTGGCAGTACCCTTGCCACGCCCTTCTCTGTTACAAAGGACGATCGTGGGAAACAAGCATCTGCTGGATGCCAGATGCTCCCTTCTGTTCTTTCAAGGGGAACCACACAGAGGTTCACTGCTGAATAGTGATGTTTAAGAGAAAGGTATTTCTGATATGAGCTCCAAGTTAATTATGATTTAAAATTTAAATGGTTTTCAGGCAAATTTAGGAATACTATTTTTGGCTTTAACTAGTTCAGTCTTATCTTCCCCCCATCAGGAATCAGTGTCCTTAACTTTTTTTTTTTAAGATTTATTTTATTTATTTGAAAGAGAATTATAGCGAGAGGTAGAGCCAGAAAGAGAGGAAGGTCTTCCATCCGCTGGTTCACTCCCCAAATGGCTGCAATGGCCAGAGCAGAGCTGATCCAAAGCCAGGAGCCTCCTCTGGGTCTCCCACACGGGTGCAGGGGCCCAAGGACTTGGGCCATCCTCTACTGCTTTCCCAGACCATAGCAGAGAGCTGGATGGGAAGTGGAGCAGCCAGGACTTGAACCGGTGCCTATATGGGATGCCAGCACTGCAGGCTAGGGCTTTAACTTGCTGTGCCACAGCACTGGTCCCTCAGTGTCCTTAACTTTAAGATTCTTGAATATTAGGGAATTATTTTGAATTTTCAGATTTTTTAAAATACAAAACCTAGTAGTCTTTTTAAGTCAAATGTACTGAATGGGTTCTGAGTGTTCATCAATCCATATTCTCCAGGTTCAGAGGGGTGTTCATTGACTTGCATCTGAGTCTTTGGATCTGATGTTCTATTATTATGAATTTAGTGACACTGGAATTAGTAGATTTCTTTTTAGATTTTTTTTGATTCTTCCATCAAACCCATTCCAATTAATTCCCATGTTCTTTTGCTCATCACTTTTATGGAAAAATTTTATAGAAAATGATCCATAGAGAAGGGATTAAGATATGTCATGTAGCTAATTCCACAATTCTCTGGAGAAATCAAGGTCATTACTTCATAGTCACACCTCAGTTTTTTTTTTTTTTTTTTTTTGGACAGGCAGAGTTATAGACAGTGAGTGAAAGAGAGAGAGAGACAGAGAGAAAGGTCTTCCTTCCGTTGGTTCAACCCCCAAATGGCCACTACGGCTGGTGTGCTGCGCCGATCCAAAGCCAGGGGCCAGACGCTTCCTCTTGGTCTCCCATGCGGGTACAGGGCCCAAGCACTTGGGCCATCCTCCACTGCACTCCCGGGCCACAGCAGAGAGCTGGAATGGAAGAGGAGCAACCGGGACAGAATCTGGCACCCCAACTGGGACTAGAACCCCGGGGTGCCGGTGCTGCAGGCAGAAGATTAGCCAAGTGAGCCGCGGCGCCAGCACACCTCAATCTTTTGGCCTCTTAATGTGAATTTTAAGTAAAGACAGAAAGAGAATAGGAAAACGAGATGTCATAGTATTCGCTGTTGAAATGATTGTGAGGTCATTCTATCTACTTTGCTTTTGTGTCTGCTTTTGTTTATTTGGCTATTTGTCTTGCTTCCATGTTGTCTTTGGAAGAGGAACAAAGTCGTAACTTGTATTGCTTCCTATACACATTATTTTGAAGATAAATGGTAAAAGACAAGTCCTGAAATGCCATGGTAGCCCTAAACAATTTATATGTAAGATTCTATAATTTTTAGGTAGATTCTAAGATACAGACCAGATCATACAACTTGAACACTACTATAACAGGGAATCTGTGTGTGTCTGATAATTTAGGACTCCATATGCTCTATCTTATATCTTCAAATTTAAGTTTACTTTAAAAAAATATTTCTGTATTGATTTTCCAGTGATTTGCAAACCCTGCCTCCCAAATTGAGCATTTTATTCTTTATCACAAAACATTTCAAAATTTTATTTTGTTTAAATATTTATTTACTACTTGAAGGGCAGAGTTACAGAAAGAGACAGAGAAACACAGAGAGAGGTCTTCCATCACTGGTTCACCCCCCAAATGGCCACAATGGCCAGGGCTGGGCCAAGTGAAAGCCAAGAGCCAGGAATTTCATCCAGGTCTCTCACATGGGTGCAGGGGCCCTAGTACTTAGGCAATTTTAAACTGCTTTCACAGGTACATTAGCAGGGAGTTGGATCAGAAGATGAGTAGCAGGAACTTGAACAAACGCCCGTAAGGGATGCCAGCATCGCAGGCAATGGCCTTACCCACTACGCCACAATGACAATCCTGATGTTTGAAAATTTTAGAACTGCCACAAATCAAAAATATAGCATTTTACTGAAATGCATTTTACTAAAACCAGATGTCAGCTGTTTCTTGCCTGTCATGGCCTTTGGCAGGATTTGAGACAACTGCCTATGGTGGGTTTTTATCTGATTTTGCCCTTCTCTGGAAACCTACCTCCTCTAAAGAGCTGACTCTTTGAAAGTTACTCACTGATGGCTCAGCTACTTCCCGAACCCACCACTCAAGCAAGAATTGAAACCAACTCACACTCAAAGCTCCTGAGGCAATCTAGTGCTTCCATCTGGGCTGAATGAGTTCTTGACTGGAAATTGTTTGACTTTGACAGTCATGTAACTGTCAGTGAACTCAAGAGTCATTCTTGGTTCAGTCATAGCCAAAGAATTTGCAGAGAATTCTCTTGATGAGGTCCTCCAAGTGCAACTAAGAGAAGGTAAGAGCATCCAGAAAGCACCTTGATCATGACATGAGATTTCATAATCACATTGTGCGTAGGTGGACATTGGAAAGAATTGTTAGAGTCTGGCTGGTAGGTGGGCAAACAGTGTGCCTGGCTAGGGATTCAAATTAGCATTTATTATGAAGAACTCATTACTGAAACAAAGTGGGATATTATAAAACTCATTAATGATCTTCATTAAGCTCATTCTGTTCTCAAGGATAGTTTTATTTGAGTTGGAATAACTGATGGAGAATTAGGACTGTAGACTCATCTTTGTCACCAGCTGGCATGGCTCCTTCCCAGGCCTAGCTCCATTCGCTGTTAAGTGAGGAGCTGAGAGCAAGTAGCATTTCAGGGTCCTGGAAGCTCTGCCATTCTCTGGGACCAGTTGGTCAGCTGACCTGTAGTGGGAGAATCAGAAACCCAAAATGCCAACTGTACCATCCATCTGGTGCCATCCTTTGAACCTTTTCACACAATGGCATCTCTGTCTTAGCTGTGATTTGGGAGCCTGGTATTCCTCATTTAGAAATTTGAACAAACTGATATGTTTTTTATGGACCTGAAAGTGATCTGTTGTACTGGACACATACAAATAAATGTATAAAGGGATAATGAATAGCTTCCTCAACTCTTGGCTCTTCTACTTTTAGACAGTTGAAAGTCATTGAAATGGAAACTCTAAATGAAATTGAAACATCAGTTCTTTTTCCTGAAAGATTGAGTCCTGGGACCTGACAGACAGAAAACACACAGGAAGCCCAACACCATGATTTGGTGGGCTACACACAGTGTTTTGAATGAAAGAAATTGTCGATGGGCAGAACATGACATGGACTTCTCAGATAGTAGCAAGGACAGACTGAGGCCATAAATGCCACTATTTTTAGGGTGACAGCCCATGTTTTTATTGGGTAACACCAGTAAGCATCTATAGAAAACATCTTAAAAAGAGGTCACTAAATACACTGACATCTGTGCCTATTTAACTGTATTAATTTCCAGAATAAAACGCCTAAGATTCAAATGTGTTCAGTTTGTACCACCCACTGGTTCTTGCAATGTCATCTCTGAAGTGAGTAACATGGCCCATCACGTGCACACTCTGCTGGAACTGGCTTCTAATTCCACATGTACACATCTGCCTTGTCCCTAATATCCGTGTGTGCCTGTGTCACCCTCTGTGTTGTTCTTGAGAGCTCCGATGGTCACAGCTTCTTAGTGTTCCTTGGCTGCTGTTGAGAGGGCAAGTGCGGAGGTTGGAGGTTGGAGATTGGAGGTGCATATTCTTGGGTCACTGAGAAATCTCTTCTGGCATTCTTGCTGCAAATGCTTTGATCCAAATCCCTGGCCCTGGTAGGGAGGGGGCAGCTCTCCTGGGCCTCAGCAGCAGTTTCTGAATGACTGTAGGGGCCTTTGGCATTTTATGGGTCCTTCGTGTTGAAACTGGACCTTTCATGTCTGGGTATTCCAGAAAGCATGCTCCGTTCACCCACACGCCACTTATTTTTTCATGGTTTAAATTCCCATTTATGCATTAAATAGTCTACAGTTCTGAAGAGCTGCGTCCGACTCCATGCTCTCTGACCCCATCTTTACAGATTTTCTTTGAAAAATGTGAACATAAGCTTCCCTTAGGCCTTTAGGATTTTTGAGCTGTATTAATAGGAGAAACCTTTTTTAATTTTTATCTTTTTTTTTTTTTTTTGGCCTTGACTGTCAGACAGTAGAGGAACCACAAGCTTTTCTGTAAATTTCAGATGGCCCTATGTTATTCCTCCTGGACTCTCCACTTCACCAACACAGTTCTTCATTGAAGAAATTTCTGGTGGAAGTTGCATAAATG